TCAGGGCACGGGGTGGCGCCTCCCGGGCCGGGGGCGCGGGGCAGGGGCAGGGGCCGGGTCGGGTGCTGCTCCCGGAGCCGCCGGGCCTCCCTCGCCGGGCGCCCGCCGCCTCCCGCCCCGCTGCCACCGGCCGTGCGGGGAGGCCGGGCACGGGGATCACAGCGTGATTCGCTTCGAGGCTGCGTGGAAATTTCCTCTCTCCCCTCCTTCCTCCTCCCCGGAGCTCTGGGCTCCATTTGTTCTTATGATTTGCACTTTTTTTCTTTTCCTTGAAAGAGAGACAAACAGACGGTAAATGGCAGCATCTTGTTTTTTGCATTATTTTGGATCGTCCGTGTAACCTCCCGGGATCTGTCTGTTAGTAGAGTAATCGGTATGTAACTTGCCGTCTCCGACTTGCAAAACACTGCGAACTCTTTCCATTTTGTGCCTCGGCAGAGGCAAATGACAGGGCTGCCTGAGGACTCTGCGCCGACTACCAGTGTCTGTCAGAGCTCTGCCTGCCTGCCAATCTGAGCGAGCTGCTGCCGGCTGTGTGTGTGCAGGAGCAGGGAGGGAGAATATGCTGGATAATTACCTCAAAACACTTCTTTACTGTACCTGAAAGGATGTAATTGGCCTTGGCTTAGATAAGTGTGTCAGCACAGTAATACCAAGTGCACAGTTTGCAGCAGAAAGTTCTCTTTGGACCGCATGTTAATGTAAGCAAAGACCTCAGCAGGTTAAAGCTGTGAATGCTTTCGGCCTGCAGATGTTGGCTCACTCCTGCCCGAAAGTTTCAGAAGTTACTGTTGGCTAAGCATATATTTACTGAGCCTGTACCAATTTCTGACTTGCTGGGTTTTAACTCTCCACCTTTCACTTTAGTTTTAAGATGTCTCCACTTGAGCATCCCTGTGCTTTGCCTTCGTATTCACATGAGGATTGACATGAGCAGAAGACAAACTTGTACAGACAGATGAATACACAGAGGAGTGGTAACGCTGCTGTCTTCCCTGTGTTCCTGTTTGTTTCTTGATAGCTTTTTTTCCTTTTTTTGTTAAATACAGTCTTACAAAGAGCTGAGAACAAAATAGCTGTTTGTTTTGAGTAGAGAAGCTGTTTTCAGATGGCCTTCAAATACTCTAATGTCTGTCTGATTTCTTAGCATCCCTCTAACATACCTGAACCCAAAGCTGTGCTCTGGTTCACTGAGTTGCACCTTAAGCCTCTGGGGCTCTGTGATAGTTCCTAGCTCATGAGCAAGATGAACACATGTAAGTGTTTAGAAATGCTTGGCAGTTGAACTTGGCTGAATTGCAACCAAAGTTCATTCTAGGGGAAAGGATTGTTTTGGAAAGGGGGAGTACAGTGATAAAATGATCTGTGCTGTGAACTTGTTTCTTCAGGTGCCTCTTTTTACTTTTTTTATGATGATTCTTAGATGATCCTAACAGCTGCTCTGTTTCCAGAGGAAAGGTGGTGAGTGTCTTTCAAGAATAACACTCAGTTAACGCTTTGGTACCTCTTCTTCAGAAAGTTTAGGAACTACTAGAGAGTGCCCTCTGAATGAAGGACTTGGGGAGAGGATATGCACAAGTATGTGACTTTGTTCTTTTTTTTTTTCCCTTCATGACTGCTGTTCAGGAAAGTTAGGGTAGTCGGTATGTAAGTGAAACATTTTGAGATTGCTCTGACCAACATCTTAAGTATGGGCCTTGAAGGCTTAACTTTAGCAGCTCTCTCAAAATTTTGCCTACCTATCTGAAATAATCTCATTTATTTCAAATAACAGTTACCTGTGCTTACGAAACATCTTCGTGGTGGCTGGTTTAGGCCTTGGCCTAAGGCCTCTTAGGCCTTGGATGACTACTTTCATTGCCCAGGTAAGGTGAGGCTGAACGCTAGTCCTTACCACAATGGAAGGAAATCAGTTACTCAGCAAGATCACTAGCATCAAGGGTTGCTGCACTTTTACATGGAGAATGGTGTCTCAGGTTGTACAGACCACAGTTTGTCCCACTTTGCATTTGTGAATTATTCTTCCTTTAACAACTCTGGACAAAGATTGCCTAGCTTGCATTTCTTTCTGATCTTTCTACTGAGTGTTTCAGTCCTTTAGGATTTTGGTGCTTTCTTTGCTTATTAGCATGTATCTTTGGCCTGTTTCATCTTATGGGAACAGTGTGAGGAATCAAGACTTGGTTAACTAGACATCTCTTCGGGCCTCTTTGTTCTTGGAGAATAGTCCAGGAATTGGCACCTTTCAAGACATGCTTTAACATTTGTTAACATGTTAATGGTTGTAAGCACTTAGCAGATTTGGAAGCTGAAGCTGGGCAGGTATTGGGGTGTTGCTCAGGTCTTCTGGTGCTGCCTGTAAGCAAATTGGGAGGGCAGTGTAAGTATCTAGCAGGCAATACTGAGTATAAGCTCTGTGAGTGAAAGTGTGTATATGTTCTTGTGTTAAACTGTTTGGATCTGTTAGGTGCATATTTTCATCAAACTGGGTTTTATTTCATATTACAAACTTTGATTATATGTTTGGTTTTGTCAGGCAACATTTTTTTGATGAAGATTCCCTTTAGACTCAAACTTCTTGTTGCAGTATTGTATTAAATGATCTCACTAATTTAGCATACATTGAGATTTCTGGTTCTGGCTAGCTGTTATTAGACTGTTTACTCCAGCTTAAGGAAAGGAATCAATGTTTAAAATAGTGATTTCTCCATAGCACTTAGATCAAGTAATTAGGCTTGGTAGCCTTTTTGTGCAGGTGGAATGCTGTTTCTTTTCCTTCCCCCTGGCAGTTCTGGGGTCATGGGAAGTCTATGGTATTTTTTTGTTGGAGGTCTTTCATTTCAGTGGGACTTCAGGAAGTCTTTTGCTTAACGTGTGCGTGCAAAGTAGTTTATGTACATGTTATCTTATGGTGTTACAGCATGTGCTTGTGTCTGGAAACACTCCAAAAGTAAGGCTAGAGAATGATGCTCTTCATCCCTTTTCTGTGAGTCTTAATAGCTCTCTACTGTACTCCGGAGCAGGATATGATAGAATTAATTTCATAAGAATGAATTGATCATTTGAGTGTTTTTACTCGCTCTTTTGCTGGTTTTCAAACTGGGGAAAGGGGTTGAGGACAATATAATGGGTATTGTTTGTCTATTGTGAGTGAATTTAAAGGTGGATACAAAGGCCAAGCAGGCAAATTACTGAATTTGGTGGAAGCAGGGTTTAGCTCTGGGCTGAGGCTTGTTTCTAGAGCAGTACTGCGTGCTTCCATTAACATCTGTTTTCTTACAAGGAAAGATGACAAAACTTCAGTTGTCTGTGAGTGACTTTCTCCTGTAATCTCAGCATCATTTCTTCAGTCTTGCTGCCCTCAAGAATACAGGACAGCTAATGTGAAGTGAAATTCACATAAATTGAATGCAATATCTAATGTAAAATAACAGCAGTATTGAGGTTTTGGTTGTGAGATGAGTTCTCTGGTGTAGCACAGATTGCTGGACTGTGTCCTTTAGGTTTGTTACTTGTCACCACAGTCCTTTATTGCAGGAAGGTAATGTTACTATGTCTTGTATCTGAGGGCAAGTACAAATTAGCAGTACTAGGAATTTAATTTCTTTCAATTCTTAACATTGGATTTTGCTAATGAATTCTGAACAGAATCACAGGAACTTTGTAGGAGTGACAAGAGTAAGTGAGAAAGTACTATGGCTTTCAAGCAGTGCTTCATTCCTGCTACTACTTCAGCCCACTTTCTTAGGCCTCTGTGGTGAACTGCAATCTATCTTTCTGGTTCTGGCAACTGAGTTCTGATCTCTTCCTCTCTGAACAGAAGGGGCTTTCCCAATTTCCCAAAGTGGATGTTCTTTAACAGTTTCTGTCATGTGAAATTTGTTACAGAAAAGTGGCAACTAAAAGGGCAGGTATCTTATAGCAGGGCAGAAAACAAGGCATACAAAGACTTGCCCAA